TGAGATTGATAAATTGAACTTGCCACTATTCTGCATTTCCATTCTGCGATTGCACTTGGTCGCAGCTTGATATTGTGTTTTAGCGTGTCATAGAGCATTTGGAGTATGCCTTCCTCAGCGGCAACTCGAAATTTCCACAGTCATCGTCGATTCATTTCCCCCCCCCCCCAAAAAAAGGAACAATTACTTGCTCTCCATAAGAAACACATAAGAGCCACTGCTTAAAATATTACAGAAATCCAAGGAAACAACCCATCCTTATGAACTCAGAAGATCCTTATTGAGGATGAGTATAGACTAGTGGTCTAACCACAATGTCGCCTTAATACAAACATGAGAGAGGTGGTGAAGAAGGAAGTTCTAAAGTTTCTTGATGTTGGGATAATCTATTCAATCTCCAACAACCATTGGGTCGGCCCGGTATAAGTAGCTCGGAAGAAAAGAGGTATAACTGTCATACCCAATACTCATCCAACTCAAACAACAGACGTTTGAATGATGCAACTCGAAAGGACCATTTTCCTATGCCCTTCATTGATCATATGCTGGAGAGGTTGGTTGGGCATGAATTCTTCTATTTCTTACATGGCATGTTTGGATACTTCCACATTCCTATACACCCATCCAATTAGGAGAAGATCACTTTCACCTGGCCATAAGGAACTTTATCCTAAAGACTTATTTTTGTAGGGTTATGCAACTCACCAAGCACATTTCAAAAGTGCATGGCAGAGATCTTCGAGAATTTAGTGGAGGTTGCAATAAAATTCTTAATGGATGATTTCTCTTTCTATGGGGATTCTTTTCATCATTGTTTATCAATTATGAAGGTCCTCATTTGATGCGAGAACCATGCTTTAAGCTAGGAGAAATACCACTACTTGGTGACATGGGGGATTGTTCTAGGCCACAAGATATCAAATAAAGGGATTGAAGTTGATCGGGCAAAGATCGAGTCAATTGTTTCTCTTCCCTTACCATCTTCAGTAAAAGTATTCATAGTTTCATGGGCCATGCTGGATTCTACAGACGTTTCATCAAATATTTCTCCAAAATCAATCAACCTTCGACTAAGCTTCTGGAGAAGATACAGTTTTATCATTTGATGAGAAATGTCTTCTAGCATTTGAGTTCTTGAAGAAAAAACTCGTCACCGCAGGGGGAATCATACAACAAGGAAAGTGTTGGAGTCGGGATTCTACTCGCTTACTATTTTTCAAAATTTCAATCAATTTGCTAGAAGCTGTGATAATTATAGGAAACATATCTCAAGGGATGAGAACACAACACATCTTTCCACCGGTGAAGATCATTGATGTTCGAGGCATTAATTTTAGGCTTAATAGACTTGCATAGCCAAAACTATCCACTTTTTGATAAATATAGCCAAATTTTGAAAAATACACAGATATAGCCATTCCATCCAAAAGTTTAACGACAATGTAACAATTGTTGACTAGACAAACGATGATTGGTCACGTGGTGATTTTTTCGACGTGGCAATATCAGGTGGAATATATTTTTAATTTCATTAACTGAAAAAAGAACAAAAGGCTACTTTGCTCTTTTCATCAGGGAGTTGCTAATTGTCGCCCTATTATATAATCGCTATAATTTTCAAGTTAAAAAGTACATATTTATCCTTCTCTTTTTACTGTTAAGAAAGTTTTTATTCAGATAAACACATTCTATAAAAAAAATTAACCGCTTGACCTAACCTTCGACCACCGCTACTTGTCGCCGCCACCACCCGCCACTATCCTCTTCACTATACTACTCTGGCCACTTACAAAACAGGTAAAACCATACCATCCATCGTATTAGGGCGGAGGCGGCGGGACAAGATAAAGCCACCATTTTCTTTCACGAAAGAATGAAATCCACTATTGGCAATTAATGTTGCAAATGTCACCAATCATAATTGAATTTTCAGGTAAGAAAGGGGACAGAAGTGAGTGACCTGCAAAAATGTAGGTCGGAGAGAGAGGGAAGGGTGGGAAACAATAGGAAAGAAGAGCCCCTTAAATTAAGTTGAAACCGGTGGTTGAGAGTTGAGACGAAATACGTGCAGCTATGATGTTGCCGGCGGATGTTGCCGGCGGGAATGGGTGATTGCAGCGGAGAACCTCGTCGGCGGATTGGGTGTTTCCTGGCAAAGGAGTTACTCTTCAAAATCTGCTTGGAATGTCAATTTTTTTTTCTTTGGACAGTTACGTAATTTTCACCTTTAAGTTAGGGCGATAAAAGTAAAATTATGACAACGTTTAATCATTCAGTTTCACCAACCCTCATATCATTGACGAACCCTCCAACAACCAACCGATCAACCCATACATCTTCTTCTGCTTCTACGCCATTGAAAGGGCACCCATCTCCAAAATCACCAATCATCAAATAGAAATCCCACGTAATCCCTAAACTAAAAATCCCCATATCCGTACTAATTTCTCACCGGGTCATGGTCAAAGTGGGTCGACCCGCGGGTTGACAACCTTGGTTTAGAATGAAGGGTTTGACTCAGTGGCGGATACAGGGGGTGGCCACCCCGGGCCCGGCCCAGCCCAGCCCTCCTCTGGATCCATAGTTAGTATAGGCCTTATGAATTTTTTGATTTTAAATATTCGAGTCGTTGTTATTTTAAAATAAGATTGGGTATAATTAGAAAAATAATTCAGATGAACATATTCAAAATCACTACTCTAAATTTAGCTTATAAATTCTAACCCCAAAGGTTATTCGTCTAAAAAAATAATGAAACCTAAAAATTCAAAAAGTTTAAAACGTAAAAGACTAAAACATATATGAGGTTTGTTACCTTGTAAAATTTACTAGAGCAGCTGGTGGATATAGGGATGGAAACACAATGCAAATTGATTAGTAGATTGATTTGTCTAGTGTTGATGCTGCTCGTTTCAACAGCTAATACGAATAGAACCTTTTCAACAACGAAACATGTGAAAATTGATTTGCGCAACAAAATGAGCGATGGATTTCTAGTCGATTGCTCAAGTATTTTATTTGAAACAGTGTATACTATTGGTATAGATGTGGACTCCATTATTAATGCATTCGCTAAATTAAAATACCGTCGTGTACAATTTACATTGTAAAAAAATTATAATCATTATATTTTTTTACTATTCTAATTTTCTAATAAAATGCGGCCCAGTGCACTTCTGTGTTCTGGATCCGCCGCTGGTTTGACTAATAAATTGTATCTAACCTTTCATTAATTCAATAGAGTTGATTTATATAAACTCCTAGATAATTTGGGCCTCAATTTTGGAATGATAAAAAAAGAGAAAAAATACATTTATGGGTAAATTCCAAGTTTGGTAACTTGATTTACTAAAAAGTGTTATATTTAGTCACTAGAAATATTTAATTCCAATGTTAGTCACTCGAATTATTCAAACAGTCTACGTTTGGTCACTTTCCGTTAGTTTCTGTCAGCCTCGATTAATACCGTCATTCATTTATTAATGTGGCTAACAGAAATGCTAACTCACCCTATTGTAACCTGCCACATCACCAAACCCGATGTCCAACCCAACCAATGAGCAGAACTTGCCTTATTGAGCCGCCCACCTCCTCCCTTTCCAACTGTCATAACAACAAAAGCTCCCCACGCCATTGTCACCTAAAAAAAGCTTCCTCACTAATCTCCGATCGTCGGAATCTCAAAAACTCTAAACCAACAAAATGACCACTAATCTCATTCCTCTAAGGCTTGCCGTCGTGTACGCCTCGTCCAACCCGGTCCTCAACAACAACTGGAGGCTTCCCTCCTCCTCCTCCCAGCGGCGGATCCGGTACATAGCAAAGTATTGAACCGCATTTCATTAGGAAATTAGATATCATAAAAAAAATTCATAGTAATTTTTTATAATATCCATAGTACATCTCGATCTTTTAATATAGCGAATTCATCAATAATAGAGTCTACATCCATACCAATAGCATACGACTCTTCTTCAAATAAAATAGTTAACCAATCAGTGAGAAATTCGTCGCTCATTTTGTTGCGCAAATCATATTTCACCTGTTCCATTGTTGAAAAGGTTTTCTCGATAGTAGCTGTTGCAAAGGGCAATGTCAACGCTAGACAAATCAATAGACAAATCAATTTGTATTGTGTGTTCATTCCTATTTCCATCAGCTGGTCTAGTAATTTTTCAAGGGAACAAACCTCATAGTTCTTTTAGCCTCTTACGTTTTAGACTTTTAGAATTTAGGTTACATTGTTTGTTTTTCTTTAGAAGAGAATCACTGTAGCTAGAATTTCTGGGCTAAATTTAAAGTTGTGATTTGAATATGTTCATCTAACCCATTTTCTCAATTACTCACAATCGTATTAATAAAATAACACTAAGCCAAATGACTAAACTCGATACATTCATAAAGGCTATACTAACTTGGGATCAAGAGGAGGGCTGGGCCGTGGCCCGGGGTGCCACCCCTGTATACGCCACTGCCTCCTCCTCCTCGCCAAAATGGTAGTATGATGGGTGCACGTTTTCTCACCGTCTAGGTCATTAAACTAATTTTGGTCATTATTATTATTATTATTGTTAATTTAGGATATTCTTTTGGTTATTTAGGATTATTATTTCTTGTTAAGGAAGTAAACGGTTAGGAGTTGGTCTAGGATAAGTTTACCTTGTTTGGGAGGGAAAGGGTTTGTAGGATTATTCCTATAAATATGTACTTTGTCTCTACGTTTTAATCAATCAAAGAAGAATAAACCAGTATTTTCAGTTTCTTTTAGTTTTAGTTCGTACGATCACGCGATGGACGAACCGATCGTCCATCAATTGGTATCAGAGCCTGGTTTGACGGAACCGAGCTCTTACCAGCTCCCAGGGCAGACATCGCCGACGTTCAACCACCAATGTCGGGAAGAGGTCCCGCGAGCCACCACTGCCACCATCACAAACCGCCTTGAGAAGGTGGATACGCAACCACCCTCCGTCGAGGCCACGAGCGCCATCGGCAACGATGGCGAAACCCTAGCCATTAGGGATGGGTTTCTAACGAGGGACGGACCGTCAACCGAGGCCCCGTCAATGAAGGAGTTAACCGTAGCTTTATCTTCATCACCCGCCACCGACGAGAAGCTAACCGTAGCTCTCTCATCATGGACCACAGTCATAGTCGGGGAGTTGAGGCACGAGATGGAGAGATTCAGGGATGTGTTGCGCCAGGAACTCAAGGAGTTTGCGAGGAGCAAAGGATGGGGACAGTTCTTCGTCGACGGTGTCGATCGAGAGAAGACTGGGGGGAGGCGATCATCGCCAACCGCAGCCACCGAGTTAACTACAGCTCGTAGGCGATCATCGTTCGCACCACCACCAATCACCATTGCAAACGCGACTGCCGTAGCCGAAGCGTTCACGATCTTCGCCGCAACAACAATCACGCCCACCACTGAAGTCAAGGAGCTGACCGAAGCTTCCTTTTCATCATCCACAGCATCGTCTATCGTCACCGTCATCCACCGCGCCACCACCAACTCCACCAAGTTGGAGCCTCCAACCGTCGACGAGAAGGAGCTACCCGTAGCGCCTTCGCCACCAATTGCTGCCAAAGAGGAGCACACCATCGCTCCATCATCATCACCTGCGGACGACGCCGAGTTAACCGTAGCTCCGTCTTCGCCACGCCCAGTATCATCATGTGAAGAGCCCCAACCCCGTCGCCGCCGCCACGTTCACCGTGGTTCAAGGGCAACCATTAAGTGGCAATTGTAAGTTTGCCAAAGGACAAGGAGATGGAGTACGTGGGACCATAGAAGTACCCATATTGCATGGGGAGCATGGAAGGGTCGGTTTGGAAGAGGAGTGTCCTAGCTTCTCATCGTCGATTGATGGAGTTGATTTTGTGGGAGTAAGCCATCCACTCGCTCTCGAGATGAGGATCGCTTATGTAGGGCCGTAGGGGATGTCGACGTTGGAATGGTTCGAGTGCCGGCGCGTAATTGGAAGTTACGTACACGAGGGCGGCATCAACAAAATCCGTTTTATTCGCTATCGTCAATAACTTTTTCATCGATCCGGGTTAAGACGACGCTTGAACTTCGGGGACGAAGTTCTTCGAAGGGGGGAGGATTGATGGGTGCACGTTTTCTCACCGTCTAGGTCATTAAACTAATTTTGGTCATTATTATTATTATTATTGTTAATTTAGGATATTCTTTTTGTTATTTAGGATTATTATTTCTTGTTAAGGAAGTAATCGGTTAGGAGTTGGTCTAGGATTAGTTTACCTTGTTTGGGAGGGAAAGGGTTTGTAGGATTATTCCTATAAATATGTACTTTGTCTCTACGTTTTAATCAATCAAAGAATAATAAACCAGTATTTTCAGTTTCTTTTAGTTTTAGTTCGTAGTCCCCACTCTTCGACTGGTCCACCGAGCCGGAATACGTCGCGAAGCCAACGAGCCATCTGGCGCCCGATCAAGATGAGAATCCTGCGGATATGAAGACAAAACAGGCCAGATCTCGATTCTCTCCGGGCCGCTTCACCGTAGAGATGGCCTAGCAGCTCGAGATGTTGACATCGGGGACGGCGTCATATCACGACGCGGTGTACCACTCCGCTATCGCCTCCGACTTCAAGAACAAGAACAACGACTACTCCTCCGCCGACGATCGGTAGCCTCCCGCCTCGTTGTCGATTTGCCCTCATGCTTTGTCCCTCCTGTGTAATCTTGATAATTTCCAAGAGGCTAGATTACGGAGCTGCCCGCTGGTTTGCCTTCCCCGTCAACGACGATAAAATCATATTCCTGATCAGAAACCTTGACGGAGGTGGGTTAACTCGTTAGGGAGTGCTTCTTTCTTGCTTCCGCAGCGACAAGACTTCAAATCGAGCGTGAATCTGAGTAGTTCTCCGAGATTCATCAACCGGGTCCGGCAGAGATCCCTGTAATGTCGAACTATACGCTTCAATTCCACTCCTTCGAACCGCCGCCTTCGATGATTTCTCTGCCCGAAGAGGTGATTTGAACCGCCGCCTTCGATCCCGTTGATGCACAATAAGTGACCGAATCCGTTGCAGTGAACAAGTCCGTGTAGGAGATGGGATAATGATATGATAATTTCTCTTGGAAACGAAGTTCAAATCCGTACGTTCGTAGATCTAGGTCGGGTTATCAACCCTTCTTTAAGAGCAGCAATGGCGGTGGCCGGATCTGGAGAGAAGAAAGATAGGGAAGGTGGAAAATTTTCATACAGATGTAGGAGGAAGAAGATTCGGGTCGGTTGGCTCAATTAGAGAAGAAAATAAGGGGTGGATCATCGGTTGGGATTGTTTTAATGACAAGGAGGGTTTAATGATGTGGCGGGTTGGAATTTATTTTTGTTTGGTTAAATCCGGCTGATTAGGTGATTTTGTTTGTCACGTTAGTACTTAACAGTTGAAACCTGGTCAACTCAATTCAAGCCCAAAGTAAACAGTTCAGACGTGCTTAGGGGTTAGGGGTTGTTTGGTTTTGATGATTGTTTGGTTGTGATAGTTACAATGCATTGTTTTTTGAATTTTCTGCACAAACAATACATGCATTGTTTGCTTGATGTGATGGAAACTATCACTCAAAATGAGTGATAGTACTATCTCTACTAAAACGTGAGATTGTTGAGATAGTTTTAAGGAGATTGTTGGGTTCTTTTTTAGTTCCAAATATACTCTTATATATATATATATATATATATATATATTCTCATAAAAGCAAGGGTAAAAGTGATCTTTCTCACAAAAAGCAATATAACATGTTGAATAGTAAAAGAACTATCACCAAAACAAAACAATGTAAAATACATTACATCATTTTCCTTAATTGCATGTATATTACAAGGCATGCATTTGACCACAATGCATTGATATAAGTATCACCAAAACCAAACGACCCCTTAGTTTGAAATGAGCTCTCCAAGGCCCAAAACTCATCATTTGAGCAAGCCAACTAGCGAGGTCATGTCAGGAAATCAAATCTCCGACTCACAACTACGGTTGGGAAACGGTGTGGTCTGGTGCAGATCAGACCATATACACGGTTCACGATCTAGACCAAGAGGTTGATGTATAGACCCCATACCAGACCACAGATTACACGGTCCAGACCAGATCACGCCTATGCGGTCTGGTCCAGATAGACCACACTTAACAAAAAATTAACAATTTGACTAGTCAACCACAAAAAAAAAAAAAAAAAAACAATAGCCAAGAAAAATTGTTTTTTCGTCAATCATAAATTTCAATATGCATGAATAATTTTGACACCACAAATCTAAGTAAATAATAAAGATACAAAGTCAAAGCATCCCAACTTGTACCATAACGTCATAAACATTTACATAATGTCATATAGAGACACGATCGTCTCTACTCTCTGGTGAAATTTGGTTGTGAATGAAGGAGGGGGACGAGATTCTCAAAATTAAGATTAAGACTTGAGTATCCTTGTGGGAGTTGGGAGAGTGAGCGAGTGAGCTGCTAACACGTATTGAGAAGTCGGCAGAGTCCACGGTTTGGTCTGGTAAACGGCGATCTAAACGAGACCAAGAAATCAAAACATCACAAAATACAGACCATGGACCAGACCATACCATACTTAAACGGTCTACGATCCGGACCAAACTATGCAATCCAGGGTGGACTATGGTTTTTCAAACGGTCTGGTCTATTTTTCCAACCCTACTCACAACAACCTGATTCAGTCCAGGCCAAAACAATTCAAACCGCCTAGGGGTGGCAGTTTGCTTATTTCGGTTATAACCGGTAACCGATTGGTCGGTTATTGGTTAACTGAAATAACCACTCCCCCTACCGTAACCGCCCGAAATATTCTTCGGTTTCTCAGTTATCTCGGTTATCGGTTAACCGAACCACTTTTAAGACCAAAAACCATTTCGTCCAGCCTCCGATAACCGACCGAAGTTCTGTTATTTCGGTTACAGGTTAGTGGATAACCGACCGGTTATTGGTTTAACTAGCTGGTTAACCGGTAACCGGTAACCGAACTGTCACCCCTAAAACCGCCCATTTTTTGCTATAAAAGAAGCCTCTCAGTTGTTTTCAAAACATATGGAAGATAAGAAAAGGCAGAGGGAAACAAAATATCTTCTTATGCTTCATCCAAATTTTAGAGAGAAATTACAACAGCGAGAAACAACAGTATATAGATTTAATTCCTTTCTCACTCAGTTGCTTTAGAGAAGGAAGGAGCTCGAGAAATAGCATGAATAGACAAATACTTATGCGTTTTTTCAATGTTGTCAAAACCGAATGAGAGCATGATCCTATTATATGAACGACTCGTACTTTAGTCGTCTAACTAGTATTAGACCTTTAAAAAATTGTTAAAGAACCGGTACCTTATAAATAATAATATCATAAATAGAAGATACATAAGATAATAATTTAACAATTCAATGACTAAAATGAAATTTATTTGTAGGTATCATTTAATAATATTACTTATATATATATATATATATATACTCATTAAAAAACCTACCATAACCCTAGTGTAGACGGCCCCCCTTCTCACTTCTCTCTTTTTCTTCTTACGCGGCCAGTGGCGCATACATGCATGGTTAGGGGTGTCCCGAGACACCCCTAAAATTTGGAAACACGATTATTCAACCTACAATAGTAGTTTGCGTATGAGAAAAAAATGTTTAAGTGGCAGTGGGACACTTTTAAAATTTGGGAAAATGATTATCCAATCTCCCGTAGTAGTTTGCGTATTGGTACAAATAATATTTAAGTAGTAGTTTATGTGATTTAAATTTCAGACACTGCCACTATTAGTTAATATATTTTCAATTACACTACAACTCATTTGTTAGTCTGTTTTAGATCCAAATATAATAGTAAAATGTTATTCTTATCTCAAATTATTTTCAAAACCTAACGATCAAACTCAATTATGGGATATCCTTGTCTAGTAGGATATGTCAAGAGATATTTGTTGAGCAATATAAACACCGAATGCATTTTATCATTTGACGAAATACGTCTGAACTTTTAATGAAACTTTTATTAGTTAGATATTTTCAAATTTAATAATTATTTAATTTAATTCTTATATATAATTTAATTTTTTATAGAGGACAACCCTACGTAGAATTCCTGGATCCGCCACTGTACGCGGCCACCTTCTTTCTTCATCTTCTTTCTTCTCCATTTCAAATTTCGAGAGAGAGCCGGCAATGGAGGTTGCCGGCTGTGGAGTTTGTTCTTTTCCCCTCTCCTTCCTCGTCGGCCTGATTCCAGCGCCGTTGAACTTTCGAAACTTTTGGCGTTTTCAACCCAGGAACCAAATTTTTTTTCAGTTAAAAAAAATCGTCACAGCAGGCTGTCAGAAGTTGAAAAACCGGTCGGACGGATCGAGCGGCTAACCGCTTCGCCCGCTCACTGACCTTCCTTTCTGCCCCCTACGGTTTTCAAACTGACCCGAGTCGGTTTAATGATCGGGTGACGGTTTTACCGGTTGGACCGACCGGCTCGGGTTGGTCTTAATAACACTACTTTTTTTTCCTTCCTAGACAAAAGTCCAGTCCTATTGTTACATATTAGAGAATACCAATGCTGTCAAAACCGAACAGGAGTATGAGCCGCTAACGTGAACGGCTTGCATTTTAGTGGTCCAACCGATATTGGGCCGTTAAAATACCGTTAGAGAACCGGTACCATATAAACCATAATATCATAAATAGAAGACACAAAAGGTAGTAATTTAACAATTTAATGATTAAAATGATATTTACGTTGCAGGTACCACTTGATAATTATACATATTACAGTTATATAAACTAAAATAAACCCTAACCCTATCCATCCTTGCGTCGCTTCCACACCCCCTTCCTCATCTCTCTCTGTGTTTCACAACAGCCGGTTCCATCCCTTTTCCTCCACACGAAACCCACCACCCCACCATTCTTTCCCTACCAACCCTCCCATCTCTTCCTTCCTCCTCTCTCCTATTCAGCCTTTTCCTCTTGACGCCACCCTCGCCATCTCT